CAGATATAATTGACACAACACCATTTACTGAGTAAGTAGCTATTCCCCACTACTTTGAAAAACTTGATCATAAATTTCCATGTGTACTGAGGCCTGTTTTTGATCTCTTTTATTTCATTGATTTATGCATCTATTCTAGTTTTAATAACACACTACTTTACTTTCTATATTTTATACTATGTTTCAATAAAAATTTCCTTGGCTCTTCTTGAATGTTTTCTGTTCTAGATGAATTTTAAAATCAGCTTGTCAAATTCTATAAAATAGTCTCTTAGGATTTTTTTGTTGGTATTGCATCAAATTTGATTAATCTGACAAATCTTTACAGTATTGAACTTTTCTATCCAAGGACAAGATACCCTTTTGCCTTTGTGTTAATATTATAAGAAGCTCCAGCATTTTCTCCATTTAGTTCTCATACATCTAGTTTGGTTTATTCTTGGCTTGTTGTGAATGGGATCTTTTTTACTACTGTTTTTTCTAACTGGCAATTGATGATACATAGAAAAGTTATTAATTTCTATATGTATCTTGTGTCTAGAAATCTTATTGAACTCTTTTTAAAAGTTACTTATTTACTTATTTGAGAGAGAGAAAGAGAGAGAGGGGTGGTGTGCAGGGGGAGGGGCAGAGGGAGAGAATCGCTATGCAGACTCCCTGCCAAGTGCAGAGCCTGACATAGAGTTTATCCCATGATCTATGAGATCATGACCTGAGCTGAAATTAAGAGTTGGATACTCAAATGACTGAGCCACCCAGGCACCCCTTGCTGAACTCTTATTAAATGTTTTCAATTAGTGTATATGTTTATTGTCTTGCATTTTCTAGGAACACTTGCAAATAATTATTTTTACCGGATTTTCCCAATATTTTTGATCCATTTCCTTTATCATGCCTTATTGCATTGTCTCGTACAGAATACTCTATATTTGTGTTGGTAATGATTATCCTTCCCTTATTCCTCACTTAAATGAGAATGCCTCTCATGTTTCTTCATTAAGTTTGCTGTAGGTTTCCGGGAGATAATCTGTTTTGAATTAAAGAAGTTTCCTTCTTTTAAAAGGAACAACAACAACAGAAACCTTAAAAAGTTCTTATTTGGGGATCCCTGGGTGGCGCAGCGGTTTAGCGCCTGCCTTTGGCCCAGGGCGCGATCCTGGAGACCCGGGATCGAATCCCACGTCAGGCTCCCGGTGCATGGAGCCTGTTTCTCCCTCTGCCTGTGTCTCTGCCTCTCTCTCTCTCTCTCTCTGTGACTATCATAAATAAATAAAAATTAAAAAAAATTTTTTTTAAAAAGTTCTTATTTGTTCCTTTTAAAAGGAGTAGGTTTTAAGTCTTATCACATGCCCCTTTTCAGGGCATCTCTTGAGATTTTTTTTTTTTTCTTGACACTCTTAATGCAGAGAACTACATTAGTGACTTTTGCTGATACTCAACCAATCTTATGACCCTGGGTTAAGCCTATTTAATCACAGTGTATTTTTAGTACGTTGCTGGAATCTACTTGCTCATATATTCCTTATGAAAGTTGTATCTGTGTTTAGGAAGATTGGCTTAAGGTTTTTTATTTGTATTATTCATAGTTGGTTTTGGCATCGGGGTCACACAAGCCTCATAAAGTGAATTGGGATACTTTCTAACTTTGCTTTCGAAAGGTTTATATATTGAAGGCTTGACAGAATGAATACACTCATTCCAAAAGAGGCTTATGTCTTTTTAAAGAGTCGATTTTTACTCTTTCGTTTTCTCTCTCCACTGTTGTTTGTTTAGCTTTTCTACTATTTGAATCAATTTCAGTAATTTGTGTATTCCTTAAAGTATTCAATTACATTTTGATTTTTATGGATATATGTGAAGTTTTGCTTAAAAGTTTTAAATCTTATTTCTAGTTTTGCTCCCTTTTTCATTCCTAATGGCATTTACTTATGCCTTCTCTTTTTTATCTTACACTAAATTTTGACTGTCTTATTTATCTTTTCAAATAATAGGCTTTTAGCAATCAGTTCTACTAGGTTTTTGTTGTTTTAACAACAATAGAAATTTATTGATTCATGTGTATATGTATATTTGTGTAGTTTAAAGCTTCTTAAATTGAATGCTTAGTTGATTTACATTTAATGTTTTTTCCCCTAATAAATGCATTTACAGCTATAAAAGCTCTGTGAATTGTTGACTATATCCTATGGATTTTGATATTCAATGTTCTCACGTTGTCATTAATTTCTAAATAGATTAAAATTTATATTGTGATTTACTCTTTAAGATTATTTAGACAGGTATGCATTTTGGGCTGTAGTTTCCTCCATCAATTAAATCTCATTTGCTTTTTATCTTCCCAGCAATTCCTCCTCATCTGATCCCATCTTGTTTTCCGATATATATATATATATATATATATATATATATATATATATATATATCCTGTTATTTCTAGGAATCAAGAGCAGGAGGGGAAAGCAGGGACATGTGTGCAGTGTACCAGCAGCATGATTTCATATCCCTCAATTTCTTTTCTCTTTTCTTTTCTCTTTTTAAGGTGAGAGGTACCAGATCATATTTGTATCTAATGAAAATGATCCAGAGAAAGAAAGCCTGACACTGTCAGAAAAGGGACACCCTAAAATGAAGTCCTTGAAAAGGAGATAAATAATGCAATGGTGAGCCCAAGTGGAGGAGACTGGCTTGCGATAAAGAGGGGATGTTTCCTTCTTTTTAACAGAAGAAAGAAGGAGATAGATGACAGATCTAGATACATCCTAGTTTTCTCTTTTCCAAGTCAGATACTCTCAGTTTTAACTGTTGTTTTTAATGACATCTTTCTGGATTTCTCCTCTGTTACTTGGTCCTTCCTAAAAAGAAAAAGGTTGTCATAAAAATATAATGTTAATGAAATTTACACAGTTCAGAATATATGTGCTGCCGAAGCGAGCACAACACACAGTTCAGAATAATAGGACCGTTAACTTCCTTGTTCTGGATACTGTACTCATTTTAGGTCCGAAATTGCTTTACACTTTGTAGCCGTTACCTATTTGTGGGCATTTTATATGAACTGTTTTAAATTAGGTCTCCTTTAATTTGTACGTGCATAGAGACTAGCACCCAAAAACACAGTCAATGTGACTCAATTCAGTCATTCTCCAAGTCCTGTTGGTTGTCTGTAGAGGGTTTTCTCGAATCTTCTCTGCCAGTCCTGGGTCAGACTTCTGCCATCTGCCACTGAGACTACTGCAGCATTCTCCCCAGTGGCCATTTTGCTCTTCCTCCCTGCTGCCCTCAGAATTCTCTAAAATACATGCCATGATTTCTACAGAAGAAATGAAAGTCCAAACTTCTCATCATGATGTTTAAGATCCTTTACTGTCAGGTCCTCACCTACTTTTGTAGGACCCGTGATGTCCATTGACTCAGCCTATGGAGGTAGCTTAAACTGACTATAGGCTAAATAAAATGATGTCGTTCTGTTAATTAAATAAGGTGATCTTTACCTAAAGTTTCTAATATGGCACTGCTTTTTATTATGTTCTTAGACTAGTCACTTTCTCCTTGTGTTTCACTTCCTCATTTATAATGTAAGGGCTTACTACTTTGTACAGATTAACCAAGAATTCATTAAGATATTTAGTTCATAAGTCAACTATCTTTCTAACTTTGTCTCCTGCCCCATGCTAATCATGAAAGCCATTATATTCCTAAATATGAAATGCCATGTATTACCATACCATGCTACATTTTGCTCATGTTCTTTCTTTTGCCTGGGACCCATCTCCACCCTAACTCCTATTTCTCCTATGTATTTAGTCCTGGAGGAGTCCTCTGGGATCATCTACAATACCTCGTGATATACCCTGCATAGAGGGGTGAGAATATATTTTGAAAAAGCAAGTTCAATATAATAATTTATCTTAAAGCAATGTTTTCTGAATATACTACGTATAAAGTAAAACACGGAATTATTGCTGTTGCAGATGTTTACATTTCAGCAATTTCAAGAGGGTCAGAGCTTTTCTCTGTTCCTTAAAGAGGCTGAGCTCCACTCTAACTCAGGAATTACCAATGCACTTTTCTCTCCCTGGAAGAGTCTCTTCTCTTCCTAACCCAGCTTCCTACTGGATACCCATTTATCCATTCAGGTGCCAGCTTAAATGTTTCTGCGGGAAGGTACGTGTAAAGTCTCCCTTCTATATACTCTGTCATATTTCCTTAGACCTCTTAACAGACTTTACAACGGTTTGACCATGCAGTCACATGCCTGTCGTGCTGGTGTCTTCTCAGCTAGACTAAGCTCTGAGGGTAGGAGTTGTACTGTTCTGTTCACCACCATGGTGCCTGGCACAGGAAGGAACTTTCGTTGCCAAAAGGGATCAAACACTTAACAAAAGTCAACAAACACTGCTCTGCGATCATGGAAATCCCATGTGTAACGGATGAGGCAAGGGAGGTGCAAGGGAGAGCTTGCCCAGGTCCAGGGCCCTTGAGAAGCCTTTCATGATCCCAGAGTCCCCGTTCAGCCTCTTGACGGAGGATTCGGGACAGTCTTCAGGTCAACGGCGTCAGGGGCCAGTCCTGTCCTCTCTGATCAGTGTCATTCCACGCAAGCGGACACCTGCTGCCCTAGGGGCACGCAGGAAATGTTTCCGGTGCAAGGGACGACCGGGCGGCGCGGGTGTGCCCTGCGCCGTCGCCACGCATCGGGCAGGTGGCCGCCGCTCCCGAGGGCGCGAGGAAGGCGCGAGGAAGGCGCGAGGAAGGCGCGAGGAAGGCGCGAGGTGCGAGGCTGGGGCCTCCGGGCGCTTGCGGTGCCGGCTCCGCCCCTCCGGGCCTCCGCGGCGCTGATTGGCCGGCCGGGCGCCGGGGGCGGGGTGGAGGGGCGGCCGCCCGCGCGCCCGCCTCGTCTCCGCGGGGGCGCGCCCGCGGCACGCGGCCGGGCGGGGCCGGGGGTGAGTGACGGCCGCGCGGGCCAATGGGGCGGGCGCGCGCCGCCGCCGCCGCCCGCGCGGCCCCTGACGCCGGCCGAGGCGCCGCGCCGCTGCGGCTGCGGGCGGCGACGGCTGCACCATGGGCCGGCTGCTGCGGGCCGCCGGGCTGCCGCCGCTGCTGCCGCCGCTGCTGCTGCTGGCCGGGGGTGAGTGCGCGCCGCGCGGGCGGGCGGCGGCGGGCCCGGGGCAGGCGGGGCGGCGGCGGCGGCGGCGGCGGCGGCGGCGGCGGCGGCGGCGGTGCTGGACAGCTCCCGGGCCGCCAACAAAGGGGCCGGCGCGCGGGGCGCGGGGCGCGGTGGGCTGCTGCCGGGCCGTCCGCGGCGCCGCGCTCCCAGGGCGGGGGCCGGGGCCCGGGGGGCCGCCGCGTGTGCCGCGTGCGGGCGGCTGCCGGCGCGGGGGCCCGCGGGGCCCGCACACACACGGACGCGCGCGGGGGAGTGTGGCGGCGGGCGCGCCTGCACGCGCTCCCGGGCGCTGTCTCCAGGGGCCTCCGGGGAGGGCGGGCCGCGGCCGCAGGCTCCGCCACCGCCGCAGCGGGGTGGGGCCGCGGCCCAGGTCGCCGGGCCCCCGCGGCGGGGGCGGGAGTCCTGCGGCCCGGCGGGGGCCAGCGCCCGAGAGCCGCACGCGCCGCGGCCGCGACAATGGGGGGCGTGTGTGCGCGCCGGTGCTGCTGCCGGACGGGAGCGGGGGTGTGGCACGCGGGTGCCCGTCCGCGCGGTGCCGGGCAACTTTACTAGGAGGCGTGACGGCCGCCGGGAGTCTGCCGCGGCGCGGCCGGGACACTGCCGGATAGCTCCTGCGCAGCTGCGGCGCCGGGCTGGGTGTGAGCACACCCGGAGACGGGCACAAGGGCAGGCGTGGTGAAGACAGGCGGGGTGTGAGCGGCAGGCGCGCAACCATGTGTCTGTGACAGCCCGCGGGACGGCTTCCCGGCGGCCGGCGCGGGATCCGGATCCAGGTGCGCGCATGGCGGGGGAGCGTGAGGCATGTGACCGCCCGAGACAGGCCACCAGCACCGAGGCGGGGTGGGGAGAAGTGCTGCCTGCGAGGGTGGGTCAGATAAGGCCATGGCCGAACAGCCTCCGGCCGGCACAGTGGACGGGGCAGTCCCCAGGAGGGGACTGCCGTGTGGAGGGGTGGCAGCCGGTTGGTGTTGGTGGACACACACGCTGGGATGAGTGTGTGTGCGTGTTCCCCTGTCAGGTCGGCTTGAGGGACTCCACCTCTGATGGGCACACAGGAGATCACGTCGGTGCGCGTGTATGTGGGAGTGGACCAGGGGCCCCGGCTACTTAGTCGCTTCCCGTGCAGGGAACCCGCAAAGACGCAGGCACACGTGTGCATCCGTGTGAGTGAAGGAGAGACCTGTGAAGGTCCCTGCGCGAGGGGGGAGAGCAGCCTTTCCTCGGTGGTGGCGATGAGATGGGCCATTGCTGTGGGCCCGTAGTGACGGAATCCTAGGGAAAATGCCTGGGAGGGGAAGAGGCCCTTGCTCCTGAGGTGCCCCGGGAAGGGTCAGCTCCGCGAGGGTACTTTTTCTCCATCACCAGTCCAGGGAGGGGTAAGGACCTAAGTGCTGTGCACAGAAATATGTCCATTGGTGTTTGTCTCAGGCACACACACACACCTATGTCTATGTTTGCATACCTTAAGTCCTCTCTGGAAGAGGTGAGAGTCAACAAATAAATTAAATATTGATTAGTCTGCTATTTATTTGTGCAACAGCCACACCAGAACTGGCAAGAAGAGTGTGTCAGGACCCATGCCCAGCTGTGGCTAGCCACGGATGACTGTCGGCAGCTTTACGCCTTCTGTGCTCCCTCCCACCTCCTCCCTCTTGTGCACACTTCATGGTGTGCGTTATTACCTCCCCCTTGGCGACTTGTCTGTGTCCAGCAGTATGTCTCTTTCCTATACACCTTTCTGGAGAAACCCTTCAAGAACCCCATCGGCATTGCTTCTCAGACACAGCAGACATGCACTCATGAGTGTGTGTGTGTGTGTGTGTGTGTGTGTGTGTGTGTGTGGTAGGATGATTGTGCTAGACAATTTCTGTTGTAGCTGACACTTAGGGGTGTGGGGGCTGTGTGGCAGATGCTGCTGGGCAGCTCCCGTATTGGTGTCTGGCAAGGGCTTAGGGAGATCTGTACTTCAGAGCTTCTGATGAGGGGAAGGGTGGGGGTGTAACTGATGGTGGAATCAGGAAAGGATGTTTGGATCAGGAGCAGATTGCAGGGGAGATAAAACATGCAGAGGATTACTAAGGCCTTGTTTTTTGTTTTGTTTTGTTTTTTTTCACCCCTTAAGATATAAGCCTGCTTCCTTTGCCTCTTTTTCTGATTTTAGGTCAGATTTTCAATTCTTTGAGGCTGGTCCCCGAATCCTTTTCATGTGCCTTCTTTCTCTCTCCCTTTCCCTGTTGGGAGTGACAAAGTATCAGAAAATTATAAGTGCTAGAGAAAAATAAAAGAATATCGGGGAGCCTGGGTGACGCCCAGTCGGTTAAGCTTCCACCTTTTGGTTTCAGCTCAGGTTGTGATTCTGGGTAATGAGATCAAGCCCCACATCAGGCTCTGTGGTCAGCATGGAGTCTGCTTGAGATTCTCCCTTTCCTGCTGCCCCCAGCTTCGTGTCCCTTGTGTGCATGCACGCTCTCTGTCTTAAAAAAAAATCTTTAGGCAGCCCCCGTGGCTCAGCGGTTTAGCGCCACCTTCAGCCCAGGGCGTGATCCTGGAGACCCGGGATCAAGTCCCTTGTCAGGCTCCCTACATGGAGCCTGCTTCTCCCTCTGCCTGTGCCTCTGCCCCTCTCTCTCTCTCTCTCTCTCTCTCTCTCATAAAATATAATCTTTAAAAATCTTTAAAAAGAAAAAAGAATCAGTCACAAAGAGTGTAATTCTGAAATTTTAAATCAGATGGAGTCTCAATTAAGGCAGATTAATTATCAAGTGCAAAAGCAATTAGACACAGAATGCTTAGGCCTCAGCTACTATTTTGGTGGGCAAGTTTGAAAATAAGCAACCTCTTGCAATTACCTAAATAATTACCCATTGCCAAGGCTTTTGAAAATATCAAGGTCTATATAAAGAAAAAATAATCATCACAGGGAAAAAGAACTTCAAGAAAATGAAACTATTTACTGGAGAAGGAATGAAAATCCTGATTCCTTTTTTCACACAAGCTTTTCGGCAGGATTATCACAATCTCTGTTCATTCCTTTTGGACTGTTGGGAAAGGAAGAGGTGGGGAGGGGGTGGAAGGAGTCTGTAGCTTCTGTCTGACAGGCAGAGGAGAGAGGTTCAGAGAATAGAGGAACTCACCTTATCATGGAAGTGGTAGGAAGGAGTCCTGGCTAATTGAACAAACCACAGTCCTCTGCACAGAGAGCTTCACAACTAAACAGTATTTGACTTCCAGAGGTGGGAAATGGACAGGATTGCTGGTCAGACTTTCCTTGAGAGGGGCTGATGCAGTATTCTCAAGGTCCGAGCTGCTGTGGAGAGCTGGCCCATGGCCTAGAAGGGAGTGATTTCGCTACCCCCATGCCCCAGTTCAGCTCTGAGAGAGGCAACTCTCAGGTTTTGAAGAGGCAATGCAAGTTGGAACCTCCTGAGGCTAAAATCCCAAGAATTTCTAAAGTAAACCAGTTTGCACCTTTCTAAAGACGCTGACATAATGTCCTCCCCAACATACCTGCTGGATACTGGTGTATATAAATAAAGATTTTCACCCAGTGGCCCTTTCAAAGATTGGCTTCTCAGGTGCCCTGGAGATCTGTAAAATTTTTATTTAATTATTACAAACATTTCTCATCAGTTGGCTTTTTTTCTTCGTGGACTGCATGAGTTTTTTTTTTTTTTTCAGGTAAGTTGATTGCATTTGGCTCCCCCAATCTTGGGGGTACCACTCTACAAAACAGGGCTGTTATATCCAGTGGTATCGTATATAAAACTTAGACTACACCTGTCCAAACAATGGTCGTTTTTGAGGGGAGAAATCCAGCCACTAATTACAGGGCTTCTGTTCACTAGCTATTTGACCTTACCGTCCCGAACCCTCTCTTATTTCACCTGCGGGAAAGAAGAGGGTTATTTATTCATTTATTCAAACACCTACTGAGTTCCTGTCATATTTCAGAGACTGTTGAGGCACTGGACTGATCAGGTTGACTCAGACACGGGACACGGTGAGGGGGAAGGAGACTGTAAGATGGCCTGTTACAGTTTGAAAGAAAAGTGTGGTAATTTGTTTGGGAGGCTGTAGTACTGGGAGTGGTGCCTGGCTGAGACTAGGAGTGGCTGGGTAGTGCTTCTCGGAGGTAGAGGTTGGGAGCAGGAGCAGGAGCTGTGCAGATGGGCACAGGTGGCCCTAGGCATTACCTATTTCTGGTTAAAGGCTTTTTTTTTTTTGAAGATTTTTTATTTATTTATGACAGAGAGAGAGAGAGAGAGAGAGAGAGAGAGAGGCAGAGACAGAGGCAGAGGGAGAAGCAGGCTCCATGCAGGGAGCCTGACATGGGACTCGATCCCAGGTCTCCAGGATCAGGCTCTGGGCCGAAGGCGGCGCTAAACCTCTGAGCCACCGGGGCTGCCCTGGTTAAAGGCTTTTTGAGGCTTGGGTACTGTCCTGTGTTTTCACCCATCAGTTCTGCTTTTGTTTGTTTGTTTTTTGAAGTCACATAAAATAACTCTGGTCTTTGTTACTCACAGTGACCTTTTATCTTAATATATTTGAGGATACCATTCTTTTATCCTGGCCAAGAACTTTCCAGTTCTCTGTTCTTTATGTAGGGTAATAATACTTACATGTATGAAATACAGTCTGCTCATTGTAGCACTGTTCTCATGGAGCTTACCTCATTTGAGGCTCCTGTCTCCCTGAATGCTGTGGAATTTTTGCTTTACAGATGAGGAAACCAGGGCCCCTGGTGGAAAAGTAGCTTACCCAGAGTGGCTCACCTAGGGAAGCCAGAACACAAACCTGCTTCCCTGGCCCAGGCTCTCTCTACGAGGACATCCTTCCATGTTTGACTTCAAGACCTGTTTATCCTCTTCTACACACCTTTTAACTGTGTTAGGCCCCTTCACTCGGAAGGCTTTCCTTACGATTACGTGTTATATTCACGGATCTGTGTTGTCCAACCGTGCATAGCATACGCTGTCTCCACTGCACCCTGGGTGCCAGGCTTAGGGCTTACTGCTACTTCAGAAGGTGGTTATGAAGATTCAGATTCAGACAACACTTGCAAAGCATTTAGCACACAGCACCAATAGTGTTACCTCTCATTTTTTATTATAAACATCACGAAAAATTTCCATGAACTATTCAGGCCAGGGCATGGTGCATGACAGGGGCAGAGCAGGACATAACTCTTTACTGCATCATTGAACTTTAGTCTTGGAAAAGAAAAATTTAGAGGTCATTTCAACCACCTTCCTTATTTTTTTGGATGAGAAGATAGACACAGAGATTTTAAGTGACTTTCCAGAAGACATATATAGCAAGTTAGTAATATCTGTGTGATTAAGCTAATAATTAAGTTGTGAAACTGGCAAATAGGGCTGTCTTCCTATTCTTAGTGAATGGGATTGAGAGAAGGGGGGAAATATTCCCTTTAATTTATTGGGTTTTGTTCATTTGTTATATAAATTAGGAAAGAGGGATCCAAGATTCTAAATAAATATGTTCTAACCAATGCTGGATGAGCCTGACCTGCAGTCTCACATAGTCTTTAAAAACTATTCAGGAGATCATATTGCTGAAATACAAATCACATTAATGCAGTTCTGGAAGATGTTTGGCTTAGGGCAGAAGCCTGGGGAACAGTGTGCACACAAGGTCCTTCAAAGCAGGGGCTTGGTCTTCACTGCATTTGTGCCCTGAGCACCGAGTACAGTTGTAGCAAAGATGGGTGCTGATAGCCGTTTCTAAATAAAAAGATGCCTAGTGGGTGCTGAGTCAGATGAACCTTACTCTCTCCTGCCCACCTCCCTTGGTCTCCCCTTTGACCCTGCTGCAGGGAGGGCTAAACAGTTTGGCCTTTGTGGAGTGAGAACAGTGTCTCAGAGTCCCCTGGCAGCCACTGGATGTCAGGACTGTTCCCCCTCTACCCCTGCCCTGCCAAGTCTCCACTGGTACCTCTGGGCTCTTTGCTCTTGGGGTCATGTCTTAACCTTGTGCCAGGCTAGCCTTTTCCAACCTCTCCTAACCATCTGGCTTTCGTGTCTGTACAGGATCATTCCTGGGCACATGGGCAGCTGGATCTGATGAGCCTGGCCCAGAGGGCCTCACCTCCACCTCCTTGCTGGACCTCCTGCCACCCACAGGCCTGGAACCGCTGGACTCGGAGGAACCCAGTGAGGCCATGGGACTGGGAGCTGGCCTGGGAGCCCCTGGCTCAGGTTTTCCCAGTGAAGAGAGCGAAGAGTCCCGCATTCTACAACCACCACAGTATTTCTGGGAAGAGGAGGAGGAGCTGAATGACTCCAGTCTGGACCTGGGACCCACTGCAGGTAGTTGTTCTACGTAAGAGTATGTGCTCATTGCAGCTGGGAGTGAGGCCATGTAGGCAGAATGCCAGAGGACCATTTCCTTACTCAAATCACATCTCTTGTCTCTCCCCACCAGCTTTAACCATGCTGCTTCCCGCTTGTGCACCAGAACTGAATGTAGGACCCTGAGTGTCTTACTTGTCCAGGAGGCTCTTTTCTCTTTAACATTCGCTGCTATTTAGGGAGCCTATGTTCTCTGGTCATATAACTCCATATAATGTGAGAGCCTGGGAGCGAAACATTTTCCAGCGTAAGCATGTGAAAACTACTGCTCATAGGGGTTAAAAGCATGCCTCAGTTCATACACCTGCTTATATGCTCAGCCATGATCCACGCCGAAGCTTCCCAGGGTCTGGGGTTGTTTGTTTTTCCTGCTATGCTGTATCTTCTCTGTTGAAGGTTCCTGGTTCCCGTGCCCCTGCTGAGGTCTCTCTGACCCCCAATCAAGGCACTGCTCTTCTCTGGGTCACGTCCTAGGGTTGGTTTCTGGGTTTACAAAGCATCGCTGATGGACCTGTGGGGGCCACAGTGAGCCTGAGACCTGAATAGGACCAAACCAGAATGTGTGCAGTTAGGGGCTAGATGCAGATGTGGCACAGGACATTGGCCATGCTTCTGGCTTCAGCAGCTATGCATGTTCTTGGCCAGCAGGAGCCCAGTTATAAATGTTAGACTGCCACTTTATGTATGTGCTAGCCCATGCACACGGAAGCAGGGTGTTATAGAATGTAGTTCTAATTTTTCCTCTTAGGGTGTATAATATTTTGGATTTTTGTTCTCTAATTATAAAAATAATACATGGAAGTTGTGGAAAATATGAAAAATGCAAAGAAGGAAAATTCACCCATAATCTCACAACTAAGAGAAACTATTAATAGTTTGGGATACATCCTTATAGTCACATGCATTTATTTATTTATTTATTTATTTAGTTATTTAGTTATTTATTTATTTATTTATTTTAAAGATTTTATTTATTTATTCATGAGAGACACAGAGAGGGAGAGAGGCAGAGACACAGGCAGAGGGAGAAGCAGACTCCATGCAGGGAGCCTGATGTGGGACATGATCCCGGGACTCCGGGATCACTCCCTGGGCCAGAGGCAGATGCTCAACTGCTGAGCCACCCAGGCTGCCCTTGTTTCCAGTTTTAATGCTGCTAAAACTAATTATTATCTATTTTTGCACTTCTCTGATTTTTTCCCTGTGATAAATTTCTAGAATAAAATTGCTAGGTGTAAAGATGTATCAGTCGGCATCCTACCCAGAGAAAGAGGACACGGCTGAACTAAGATAAGCCAGGCAAGTTTATTTATAGAATAAGGAACTTACAAAGGTATAGGTAGGGGGTAGGCCAACCAGAGAGGAGTCCAGGGCCTGTGGCAGCAGAGCACTCAATGCTCCTACACCCAAAGGGTCAGAGGAGAGGGATGGATGAAAGGAACTAGGAGGGACAGAGAATGGTGGAGAGCAAGTGGTTCTGACAATGGCAGTGACCCAGCAGGGGAGAAACCAGGGGAGGAAGTACCTGACCCTTTCTCCTCCCATCTTCTGCCAGGGTCCCTGCATTCTCTCTTTCCCTGCCTCTGTTGAGTCTGGTCAGGAAGCAGGGACATGACCTGTTGCTGCAACTCTTGGAGTCCATCCCCCAGGGCACAGAAAGGGGTAGGGAAAGGTAGAAAAGGGATCTGGAGGGGTTGGAGCATGTCTGGTGCAAAGGATGAGAATCTTCCCACAGGCTTTTGTTAAATATTTCCAGATCAGCCTCCAGAAAGCTCTTTGCGGTTTGCATACCCACCAGAGGTGGAATGAATGCCACTTTTTTGGATCCTTCCCACCAGCATTTTGTCATTTAGAAATCTTAGTCAACTTGATAAGCAAATTATAGTGGCCTTTGATTGCTAGTGAACATTAACGTGTGTGTGTGTGTGTGTGTGTGTGTGTGTGTGTGTGTGTGTATTTTCTGACCATTTATAGCCCTTTCCAATTTGAGGCATAGTATAATGAAGAACAGACTTTGGAGTCAGGCCGATTCCAAAGTTTTAGCACTAACACTTAACATCTATGTGATTTTTGGCAAGGAGCAACCTTTGCCTCGGTTTTCCTGAAGTAGTATCTTTGGGTTTTGCGGTTAAATGCAGTAATTCATTTAATGCACTCAGCACAGCACTTGGTACACTGTTAAGTGTTCTGTATTACCTGTTACTGCTTTTGCATGTTTTTCTATATTACCTGTTACTGCTTTTGCATGTTTTTCTATTGAGGCTTTAATTTTTTCTTACCATATAAAAAAGATACTAACCTTTTCTCTGATGTATATAGAAAACATTTTTCCAGGTTAGTAATTACTTTTTTTTTTTAAAGATTTTATTTATTCATAAGAGACAGAGAGAGAGAGAGGCAGAGACACCGGCAGAGGGAGAGGCTCCATGCAGGAAGCCCGATGTGGTACTCAATCCTGGGATTCCAGGATCACGCCCTGGGCCAAAGGCAGGCCCTAAACCGCTGAGCCACCCAGGTGTCCCAATTACTTTTTTTATTATAGTGATTTTTGACATACCATAAATTTCTTAGAAACTTGGACAGTCTTTCTTTTGATATGTTTGAAATGTTTTTATGTGTTTTTCTTTCCTTTATGTTCAGAATATCCGTTCCTTTCCTGAGATATATGCACCTTTTTTTTCCACCTTAAATTTGTACATTTAACTCTATTTTAGCAGTAATTTATTTTGGTATGTGGTATAAGATAGTGATTTAGTTCATTTCCCCTATAAAGCTAGCCTTGTTACTGCAGTAGCATACATGCTGGTGAATCTATTCCCTTGTTATGGAAAAGAAGCACTAGACAATTAGATGTACTTGCGTCTTTCTCTGGGCTCTTCTTCTTGTTTTGACCCTGGACATTCTAGTCTGAGACAAGCAATCATTCTGAGGGCCTCGGCCAAGAAAGCCACTGCGATGAGCCTAGGACCTTCCTCAGGATCACAGTGGGATGACCCACTTTGAGGCTTTGAGGAACTCACATTTGCTCTGCCTCTCCCTTCCCTTCCCCTTCTTTCCCTCTCACTTCATCTCTTTTCTTCTTCCATTAGCCTCTCTTGGTCTCTTAGTAGTGAAGACAGCTGCCATTCATTGAATACATGTTCTGTCCCAGGCATTTTGTATCCATTCTTCTCATGCCAGCTGTCCAGTATGGTCTGTCTCCTCATCTCTTCTATACACCCTGAATGACTGTGAGATGGGGACTCAGGTGCCCTGCACAGAGAATGGGCAAGCGCCCCAGAAGAAGTGGAGAAAGGGGAGCTGCTTTTGCCAGGCTCCCTAAGTGCTCACCTTTCCACTGGGCCCATACCTTTCTTTCCTCAGGACAGTCTCTTCTCCATACCCCCCAAGGCAGTTTGTGAGAACACAGTACCCATAGAATAAAAGTGAAGTGTCTTAGCACTACAGAAGATGCTCTTGATGCTTTGGCCAGGCCTTTCACTTGGCCTCATCTTCCCTTCTCCCACATGCATCATTTCATTAGCCTATTATCCCACTTGGCAGATGTGGAACTGATTCACAGGGAAGTTAAGTGCTTTAACAAGGTCACACTTAGTCTGTGACAGAGGTGGCTGGAGAATCTGTGTCTTCTTCCTGACAGTGGCTCAGGCCTGTTCCCTAGCCTCTGGTGCCACTCCTCCTGTCCTGTCTGCTTGGAGCACTCTTCTCCAACCCAACTGCCTGGTGGACTTGACGTCATCCTGCAACACTTAGCTCGGAAGACACAGCCTCCAAGAGGCCTTTTATCTCTACCAAGCGAGCACGTGGTTGTGCTTGGGGTGCCCTGTCCAAGGGTGCCTTGCCAAGCAGGGGAGCTAATACTGATGTCCAGCCTGCACGCTACTCATCAGGTCAGGGGCTGGATGGGAGGAGTGACTTTTTCCAAGTCATCTGCTCAGAGGGGCATCTCTGAGAGCTAGCAGTGGCCCTGAAATGAAGCTAGCCATTCCTGCTTCTGCATCCTCACAGTACCTTGATAATATGGTGGTAGGCCATAACAGAGCCAGAAAGTATCCCAGGTGTGAGGCTGATTTGTATGGGGAGGCAGCCCAGAGAGGACAGTGTGTGCTAATCCCCTCTGCCCTCTTCTATTCCTGACCATAGAAGTCAGAGGCTCCCATCTAGGAGTTCTTTGGAAGGAAGGAAGGCATTGCCTCTTGGGGTTTGCTCCTTAGATTAGAGGAGACCCAAGGAAACTTCAAAGGGCCTGCCTGGATGAGGAGACTATCCACAGGTCAGAGTGACCATGCTAAGTGCTGTCTTAACCCAGCCCTTGGGGACCTGGATATATCCATGCAGCAGGAGCAAAGACTACAGAAAGCCATGCTGTGGACAAGCCCAATCTCAGATCCATTACTCTACTAGTAATTATGATATCAACATATGTATGAACACCTAGCATGTGCCAGGCGCCATGTTAGGTGTTACGGCATAGTATCTCATTTAACCTCAACACTAACAAGTATATATTGTTACTCCCATTTGACCAGTGAACAAACTGAGGTTCCAGGAGATTGCATAACAGGCCAGCTGCTAAGTATAACCAAGAATCAAACCCAAGTTTTCAGACTCCATAGCTTTGACTCTTTATTAGGTTGCCTCTCAGCTCAACGATTTTAGTAGAGACTAACAGTTGTGTCTTATATTTTACATAGTAATTATCACCATTTTTCCCATAGAATTTTCTCTTTGATTAGCTCATTTGAACTTCACAACCACTCTTTGGGGTCCACAGGCAGGAATTGTCACTTCCTCACAAATGGTGAAACCCAGGCCCAGAGAAGGTAATTGCATTGCCCAAGGCTGCACAGCTTGCGTGTGGCGGAGCTGAATGTGGAATCAGCAGCTCGTGAGCACCTGGGCATGGCAGCCTACTGTGGGAGCATATGGATGGCGTGTGTTAAAGAGGAAACCTGTGT